AGGAACCTATACACAGACCAAGAGGAAGTCGTTAGAACACAACAAGGGGACACTGAATGCTTTAAAATAAGAAAAGGTGTGTACCAGGGTTGTATTCTTTCACCATACTTCTTCCATCTGTATGCTGAGGAAATAATCCAAGAAGCTGGGTTATATGAAGAACATGGCTTGGAAGAAGGCTCATTAACAACCAGCCATATGCAGACAATACAACCTTGCTTGCTGGAAACATAAAGAAACTGAAAATCTTCACATCTAGACCAATAAATAACATTATGATGAATGGAATAAAGATTGAAGTTGTCAAAGACTTCATTTTGCTGGGATCCCCAACATTCTTGGCAGCAGCGGTCAAGAAATCAAATAATGGGGCTAGAGGAGAACAAACAAGATGGAGGGTCGGGTGGAAGTGCAGTGAGGCGCTCCGCCCGAACAACACAGAATACCCGACCAAGCAGGCTCAGGGCCTGGTCCCAGAACTCTGAACCACATAGAAAGGAATATTTAGAAGATTGGAAGACTTACAGCTGGGGGAATTTGTGGCAGAAGCAAGAAATCCATTGCTTCCTGGTTCAGGACACTCATCTGCTCCAGAAGCCGCCATCTTATGTGGGGCCAAGCGGGGGAAGGATCTGAGCAGCCACCTGACAGAACCGCTGAGATAAAGGTGTGGACATTCTTTCTTTTGGTATCTGTTCATTGGTCCTTTGCTGTCTGCGCACCTCCATTCTGGTGACTAGAGGGGTGTCTGAGCTAGTGGGCACCCCAGGCCCACTCTCTGAGGCACCCCAGCCCCACTCTTAGAGGGTTCTACTACGCATGTGCACAGATCTCCTTGAAATTTAAAGAGACAGTTTCCAATTAAAACCAAATGGCCACAGCCGGCCCTGAACTGTTTCTAAGTAGAAAAAAGGCCTGAATGGGGATTGTGGAGCGGGACAAGCAGATAAAAGAGGAAATAGGCCGAAAATTAAATCCTAAGTTACGTCAAAACGACCAACATTGGTATATTGAAATTTTTTAAGAAGAAGAGTGAAAAGAGAAGCCCATTTCCTGATCACATCTACCTGGAGGCAATCAGCAAGCATAAAAAATATCAAAAAAACCCCAACAACAACAAACAAAATACATACCCATCTAAGTATTAAGGCCACAGACACTTGAGTGGGATAGAAAGGAATGTTGGGAAACATGATTAGAGAAAACCTGTAAGCCCGCCTTCAGCCTATAACTTATTGGAATACCTAAAAGGGGTTCTACAACTTGCCCAGTGAAATAGGCCTCATGGAAAGCCTTTACAGAGTATAGGACCTTAGGGGGAATCCTGAGTCCCATCCACAACCTTATGAGGTGAGACATTCCCACTAGAAAGGATAAGCAGACTGGAACAGCTACAGTGACAGAAGATACATCTTCATAATGAACCTGACCTATACTCAGAGCAGTTGTTGTTGTTGTTGTTAAGTGCCGTCGAGTCGGTTCCGACCCATAGCGACCCTGTACAGGGTTTCCGAGGGTGTAAATCTTTACGGGAGTAGAAAGCCTCATCTTTCTCCCGCGGAGCAGCTGGTAGTTTCGAACCGCTGACCTTAAGGTTCGCAGCCCGATTCGTAACCACTACGCTACCAGAGCTCCTTATACTCAGAGCAGTAGTTACTCTAAATACCAACAGAGAGGGAAAGAGTCTTCAAATCAAATATCAATGCTATCCCCTCTGTACACAGGGAAGATGGGAACGGGCCACTTAGCTAGCTAAAATGAGGGGGCAATAAAGGCACAAAGTGACTGGCTTACAAGGTTTCAAGAGGGAGTTTAGTTTATGAGTATGGGGGGAACGAAAGAGTCCCCACTGAATAGCTGTTATCTTGTCTAGATGGGTCTGGTGAAAAGAGATGGGGATAAGATTCGTAAGATTCAGTAGTGAATAATTGTTATCATAACTAATCGTGACTGTCACAATTATAAAGGTAGAACTTTTGTAACAAAAAAAGAGGAGTGGTTAATCTTACAGTCCAGAAACAGAGGACCCTAGGACCATCAAGAAAGGAACGCACAAGCAGAATGCGGGACCTTATCCAGAGAAGCAGGAGTGCCAGAGGTGGAGGCAGAGATGGGGGCATGGAGAGGGGGAGTGGCTGAGGACTCTAGATTCATGGACTAAGAAGGGAGGGACTAAGAACTGGTGGCCAGGAGCAGACTTGCAGAATGTGCCCTTTGGAGATGTAAATTGTTATATATGCCTGAGTGGGTTTTTTTGGTTTGTTTGAAAAAAAGCTAAAGTGGATAGAGAGAAATACTGTCAAGTGATGGTACATGGAGGGGATTATAATCATTGTAATGAAACAAGGTGTATGATTTGTTGCATGTAAAACTGATGGTATGCCCTGTAAACTTTCACTCAATCAACAATAAAAACCTTTAATTAAAAAAAAATAAATCAAATAATGTATATAGCATTAGCAGATCTGCTGCATAAGATCTTGGTAAAGTCTTAAAGAGCAAATATGTCAATTGAAGGACTAAGGTGCTCCTGACCCAAGTCATGGTATTTTTAACTGCTTCATAAGCATGTGAAAGTTGGGACATTGATTAAGGAAGACCATAGAAGAATCGATGCACTTGAATCGTGGTGTTGGAGAAGAGTCTAATAGTCCCATTGACTTCCAGAATAACAAACAAATGTGTCTTGGAAGAAGTACAGCCAGAATGTTCTTTAGAAGTCAGAATGATGCGTCTTCACGTCTCATACTTCAGATACGTTATCAGGAGGGACCAGCCCCAGGAGAAAGGCATCATGCTAGGTAAAATGGAGGGTCAGTGAAAAAGATGAAGCCCCCTCCCAAGGAGGTGGATTGACACAGTGACAGCAACAATGGGCTTAAATGTTAACAAATGTGAGGCTGGCACAGGACTGGCCGCTGTTTCATTCTGTTGGGTGTGGTTTGCTATGAGTCAGAGTCGAATTGACATCATCTAACAACACCACCACATTCTGCAAAGGTGACCCACTATTTCTTTAGTTTACACGCTCCACCACCTCAGGCCTGTGCACAGTGAACGTTCCACACACCACCATGTCCAGGAAGCACGTCTTATTCGTTGAACCTGCCCTTGGCCTATTATCTTCCGTGCCTGGGACACAGCCAGTATTGGAATAGAGTGTCTGCAAAGGGAATATGTCTGGGGGCAGCCCAATCCAGATTCTGGAAGAAAGACACTGAGAAGGACCTTCAGCTGACACAGTGATCACCAGCAAAGGAGCCATGGAGGGAGCACAGGGAGCTGCAGAGTCAACATCATGCCTTCTTCTTGTCATCTGCTGTTGAGTAACCTCTGATGCATGGCAACCCCACAGATAAGAGGATTGTGCTATTGGACCAGGATCCACAAAGGTTTTCACTGGCTGATTTTTGGAAGTAGATTCCCAGGCCTTTCTTCCTTGTTTTAGTCTGGAAGTTGTACTAAAACCTGTCCATCATCATAGCAACACACAAACATCCCGACAGATGTGGTGGTGGCACAGGTGCAATGGCTGGGAAGCATGTGGTTTTGCTGCTATGTGACAGGATGTGGCTTTATTCACTTAGCACCAGCCTCCTCTAGTCGGGGACTACAGTGTTCAAAGGATATCACAACAGTGAGCAAGACAAAGCAGGTACTGGTTTGTTCATGGTAACACATTCTATGAAAGGCCCTTCAAAACAGGAAGAGAACAAGTTTGTTGAGTAAGTACCTGATGTGGGAGCGTTCTCCCCCATGATCAGTGTTTGGTAAGCACAGCTCATTGGCAGGGTACTCATTTTCAGGGACACTTCAAGCACAACTTCTCAAGCAGCCCCCCAAGGGAGATGAGACTCTCAGCAGTAGCTATTCCCAAGGTCCTTCTAATGTTCCTCTCTGAGATTATGATGTTTTCACGTGAACACTGTTTCCATGCTGTGTTGAAGGATTCCGAAGGAATGTAGATAGATGATGTACAAGGAAGCAACTTTTATTGATAGATTAAAGCACAGGATAGCAAGCAAGTATGATTTTTATTTATTTCAAATTATGAATTAAATTTTCAAGTGAATTCAACATAATCTGTCCATTTGCTTGTTTTCCACATTAAAGTTCTGTGTTTTAATACTAGGTGGCTGTAAATCACAAAATCTTTTCAAAACGAAGTGTCTTACCAACCATTCTACAAATTGTATTTTTCATGACCCATTCACCTTCAAAGATATGTTCACAAACTTTTGATTTACTGTTACAAGAGGGGAGAAACATTCATTGCAGCAGAATGCTATAGTTATTCAATCTCAAATTTATTAATCCCCTTATTTTATTGCAGTAAATCTGTACTTCTTTAGTATAAAGAGAAATCAAATGAAAATATACCCACAATCTTGGGTTAAGAAGTACACTGGGATATGGTGACCTAGAATATATGTACAGATTATAAACATATTTATAATTCATATGTACACACTGAAGGGTTACCTATTCATTATAAATAGTAGGTCATAACTTAGATTCTACAAAAATAACCAATTTGGGTAGGCACATGCAAACCATACACATAAAGTTATTTATAAAACACATCTCAATGCCTTTTTTTGCCTTTAAATATAAATTTTGCTAGTCAACAGCTAAATCATTTCAATGCAAAATGCAGACCCCAATGTGCCCCAATTGAAAGTATAAAACCTGACTATCCAAAACAGACCTGCTTCCAGTAGTGTCTATGGGAATGTCTAGATCATTCTGCCACATGTGAATGATAGGTACACATCCTATTTCCTCATATATTAGATGCCCCTCCCCTGTCCAGAGTAAAAACTTCCTTTCTTCTGTTTTGTTTGCTTGTCTGATTTTTGTTTTCTAAAATACTGCCAACAGTAGATATTTATTAAAATAGCATCATCGTGGCTTTTACAATCTCACCAAAAGGAAGGAAACGAAGCCTGCCATGGACTGCCCGGACACTGGTGTTCTAAGACCTGGAGCAAGGCTGATGGTTAGTTGCTAGCAGAGCCATCGGAGTGGGCAGCCAGCTGGGCAGCCACGAAGGGCTCATTCTGCTTCTGGTCCTCTTTCAGACCAGCTGCTTGGTCTGAGATGGAGGAGAAGGAGAGCTGATCATGCTCCAGTATGTGTAATTGGTCCTCGCCTTTGAACTTCTTCACGTAGAAGAGCTTTCTGAATTTTTTCAGCTCGCGGAGTTCACAGAAAGTTTCTAGAACCACCAGCATGGCAATGAGACCAAGGATCAGGTAACCTGCATAGGAAACATGACAGGGACTCAGCGTGACCTCACCATGGACAAATCATGTCCTATTGACTCTCAGTCTTCCTCTCCACACCCAGAAAACCGTGCTGATGAACACATTCTCAGCTTTCTGATATCTGTACTCACAAACCATGGTTCAAAATGGAATTACCCAGACATATAACAAGAATAGCATAATCTCTTATGAGCTGAGATTACTGAGAACTGCAGGCTGCAATTCTGAGGGAAAAAATAACAGCCAGGGCTGACAATGTACTGTTAAAGAAAGACATGTAACACTGTACTGGCCCAAATGTGATAACTTCTCTCTCTTTTTGTAGTAATTAAAAAAATAAATAAAATAAAACACACCATTCATTTTATTGTTGTGTGGTTGCTAAAAATATTCACAGAACCTATATGGATTCAATCATTTCTACCTGTTCAATTAATTGACAGTCTTTGAGTTGGGTAACTGTTCTCACCTTTCCTTTCTGAGTTGTTCCTTTCCCATCAATGTAAACCCCCTGCTCCCTAAACTTCCTAGCTAACTTTCTGAGTTATTGGCCACTTGATTCCATGTAAATAGTTCATCAAAAGAGACGATCTTTACTAAACTATTACTAGCTTGAAAAAGATTCCAGCACATACTAGGGTACTCAAAAAGGGCTTACCACTAGGGTTTCAGGTTGATTCCTAAAGAAATGCATTTAAACCTATCTCTAAAATCAGTACATGGCTGCAGACAAGTTTTCTCATTAGGGCACCTTCAGAGGAAAGGGCCAATCAGTACAGTGGCTTCTGAGGGGATCTGCTGGGCCAATTAAAATCAGTGCAGAGAGATCCATTCAGAAGGTTATGGAGACTGGTTCATTATTATTATTATTATTGTAAAGGGGTAAACTTGATAGATTTTCTCCAAGAACACAGGATGATCATGGGGGTTTATCATGAAAAAGTTTTAAGAAAACTGACAACTACATTAGTGAGAAAAAGACCAGTAATGTACTGAGGATTTCTGTTTTCCTATCACAACAATGTACTTGCTCAAATTTCAAGGGTAGCAAGGGCTGTCCTACAAAACTTTCACAGGGAAACCTTGTTCCTTCCACACTACAGCCCTGATCATGCCCCTTTGGACTTCTTTTGTTTTCCCAAACTCTAAGAATACTGAAACACGATTGTTGTTAAGTTGTTAAATGTCATCGAGTCGGATCCGACCCACAGTGACCATGTATAGGGTTTCCCAGGAGTGACTGATGAGCTTGAACCACTGACCTTTCAGTTGAAACGGCTCTGCAGTCTGGCGCATTAACCCACAGCGCCACACCCCTCAAACATGGCGAAACTGCCATTTTGACATGGTGTGAATCAAGAGCATAGAATTCTTTGGAGAAATGGTAAAGAAATGGAAATATTGCCTTCGGAAGTTTAGACTAGATGAAGGATACGTCAAGAAGGAATCACTTCACATTTTGACACTTTTGTTGAATAAAGGGAGCTCCGCTTTAGTGTCAGTACTTTTTGACTGACCCTTGCATTTCTGGTTTAAGGGTTAAGGCTTACAGATTTTCTGGAAGCACGAGTTTCAGGGTTCATCCAGCTTTGGTGACTTTTCCACCCCTCACCCATAATCAGTGACATTCAATTAGTGAGTGGTATTTTAGGAAAGTTTTCGATTTCTCATGAGCTGCTCAGAAAAATGAGGTCAGCTGCTAATCTAAATGTTGGAGGTTCACGGTCCAACTAAAGGGACCTTAGAAGAAAGGTTTCATGGTCTACTTCAAAAACATCGGCCACTGAAAACCCTGTGGGGCATACTTCGGTCGTGAAGCAAATGGAGCACTGTGAGTAGTGTTGGACTTGGGAGCAACTGGTATTCAGAACCAAGCTTTCCACCTTTATAAATACTTTGATAATTATTCCTACTGGAGAACAGAGTTCTGGTGTGGTGCTGTAGGATAAGCACTGGACTGCTAACCACAAGGTCAGAGGTTCAAACCCACCAGTCGTTCTTCGAAAACCCTATACAGTGTTGACATGAGTCAAAATCGACTCAACAGCACTTAGCAACAACAGGAACAACAAGTACAGAGAACAGACGCAAATACTGTTGACTGATGATGCACAGAAGGGATTGTAATCATTGCATTGAAACAATGAGTGTAAAACTGATGTTCTCCCATGTAAACTATCACTCAGTTCACAATAAAAACTTGAAAAAACAAACAAACAAACCAATAACCAAGAAAAGGAAATTTGCTAAGTAATAGGAATGACAGTTTAAGTTAAATAAAAATTTCTTCCATTAAGAATTGGCAAAGAAATTAGACAGGTCTTTGTGTGGTTGTTGACAATTCCACCTAAATCCAGAGGCAAACTCTAACTCCCCATTATGTGCCATCACGTTTGTGGCACATGACCCAACAGAGTCACTGCTGGTTCCCTACTCTTAAGATAAACATTAACTGTTGGCTCAGGGTTTATACCTTAGAACTTCTGGATAATGGGCTGAGCCGCAAGGTTGGCAGTTCATGCTCATCAGTGGCTCCTCAGAAACCCAATATCGGGTCACTATGGGTCGGAACTGACCTGAAGGCACTTAACAACAACAAAGGCAATTTTATATTCATTTTACATAAATTTACATTCGTTCTGGTATTTTAAAAATCATTTTCTGAAAAAAAAAAAAATGTATTCGTCATGAAAAGGAACAGAAGAAAGTGAAATTGAAAACGCTAAAAATAACACAAATCCAATGTCATGTCCGAGTAGTAAAATGTGTGATGAAGAGCTTGGAAACCCCCCGAATTACGTAAGGAAGACAGGCAGGATGATGAAAATAAAGAAGTTGAGTAGCTCAAGAATGTAACGTGACGTAAGAAAGTTCTAGCACCCATCCGTCGGGTTTGGCAATTAAGTTCTGATAATCAGACATTACATGAGAATGTGCTCTCTCTTATTTTAGAAGCAGCAGCGACATTGTAACACTGACTAAGAAATTCTCTCATTTGCCCCTATACATTATTTAGTCAAGCTCTTAAGTGATGGCAAAAACATCAATGAAATTTTAGGCACGAACTGCAGAATTTTATTCTACTCACATATCAATACATCTTTGGAACATTCAATTCAATTGGTAGATACTTGCGTTCTTAATACCATAGGGCAAATTAGCTTTATGTAAATTCCCTTAAAAGTTGATCATATTATTTGTAACAACTGATGAAATACTAGTCCAAGATTTATTATTACATGAAAAACTGAGAAATTAACATTAGGCAGACTTATGAGAAGATAATTTACAAATCAGAAAAGTAAAGAGAGTAAGTATATTTACAGAAAGCGTTCAACTTTAATAAGCCTTTAAAGCATGGAAAACAAAAATAAGGATGTGACATTTTGCCTATTTTGTGAAAAGAACATTAAGTGAATGCTTACTGCGGAATCAAATTCACAAAAATTATCTCTAATGTTACTGGCCAACACCACTGCAGGAGTGCTGAGAGAGAGAGTTACACCATAGAATGCAGGTAGCATTGGCTACAAATACCACCATTAGAAAAGCACTGTGTCATAAACGGGTGTGTCTTCTTGGGGACATCAACTTCTTGCAAAACTAAAAAAAGTGGAAATAATATAACCAGAGAATGATATTCACTGCAGTGTTGTTTGGACTCCTGGTGTGAGGATCAGCACCTGGACTACAAAACACAAGATTAGCAATTCAAATCCACCAGCTGCTCCTTGGAAACTCTATAGAGGGTCTCTATGAACCAGAACGGACTGGACAGCACTTAAAAACCAGCAGCACCACAGGGGGTTTATAATACCCTCAAATTAGATGCAGCCTAGAAGAGAGGGCTTCAAAAAATTTGTGAGAAAATCACATTATCTTTTCATTCCAATATTTCATGAACTTTCTAAAGCTCTCCTTTATAGTCAACAACAGAGGCATGATTACGTTAATGTCTGCTCATTTGCCGAAACACTATGTAGACATTGTAACGATTACAATGATAATCGTGACAAGAAGAGAAAACATGAAATCATCGTTATAACCAACCACTTGGCAAATATTTACTGAGGGTGTATTGTTAGAGGAAGACCCCCAGCGAGATGGATTGTCCAAGTGGCAGCATCGATGGACTCAAGCCTGGCAGCGGTAGCGAAGTTGGCCCAGGATTAGGCAGTGTTTTATTCTGCTGTGCATAAGGTCACTATGGGTCGGCACCGACTCGATGGCACCTAACAACAACAACAATCCTAGTCAGTAAAAAGCATAGGGGATTTATGAATGAAGCTTTTACTCTGCATGAGCCTACCATTTAAGGAAAATATTCAAATATACAGAGTTCAATTAAGAGTTTGATAGGATAAATTAAGTTTGCAAGGCAGGGCCAGACGACTGTCTGGGTTGTCTGCTTGGTCTCTTAGAAGAAATGAAATGAGCTGAGTCTTGAAAAACTCTTGAGAAGACAAATGAAAACTGTATGTACATTTTAACTGTGATTCTATGTATCTACAAAAGGACAGAAATGGGGCACATAAAAATGAGTTTCTTAAAGATGAATTACTCTTCTCAATTTCACAAAATCCTACTTAATTTAAAATAAAAATGTTTACAAAGTAGAAATCACTGGCTTTTTAAATTTTAATGCCTATTTTCCACATATAAAATTCAGGAAACAGTTGACATACTCAGTGTTTCTGAAAAAGAACCAGATGGGCATAAGAAATCAGCAATGTTTTAAGATTTTTCTGGCAAATTAAAGACCATGATTGATAATAACAGGCTAGCTACATCCTAGTTTGAGCTTTCCTGAGCTTAAAAATACTCGAATTCTTAATACCAAAGGGCAAATTAGCTATATGTAAATTCCCTTAGAAGTTGATCATATTATTTGTAACAACTGATGAAATACGATTTCAAGATTTATTATTATATGAAAAACTGAGACATTAACATTAAGCAGATTTATAAGAACATGACTGATAATCATGTTCATGATTATTTCATGAAATAATCCCGTCAGGTTAGAGCTTGGAATGGCAACATCAGGACCCTTGATACTCACATGTGATTCCAAACTTATAGAGTGCTCTGAATCTTTGATTGCTGCCTTCTCCAGGAACATAATCCCCTAGGCCAATGGTGCTCAAGGAAATGAAACAAAAATAAAAGGATTCCAGGAAGTTCCAATCAGTCTCCAGGACAGAGAATACAGCTGCCGGGATGAAGAAGAACAAGGACATGGTGACAGATCCGAGGATAAGCGCGTGCACGAGTGACACGGTGTTCTTGGAGAATCCCCAGCGGGTGTGGAAGTAGAAAACAGGCCTGTGAGTGACGTAGAGGGTGATGCGCTGGACCACTGCCGTCAGGAACAGGAGGGTGAAAGGGATCCCAATGACAGAGTATACGAGGCAGAAGGCCTTACCCCCATCTGACAAGGGCACCGTGTGGCCGTAACCTACAGAGAGAAAACAGCAAATGAGGTGAAGAAGAGAAAATGAACTGTCCATGGCATCATGTCCCCCACCTCCCCCACTGTCCTCAGACTGAGGAAAAGAGTGAGCCTTCAGAGGGAGAGCCTTTCAAGACTCTGGCAGAATGGTCATGCCAGTAAAATCCAATCACAGATGCCATACACTGGGGACGAACACCACTCTTTAAAAAACTTACCGGCTCTTTCCAACGCATCAGAATCTGGCCTTGGAATCATGGTCAGACTGAGACAGAAGTTCAGTGCATGCTATGGAGCTGAGGCCCTCAGCAATAGGAAACCAACAGGAAAACACTTCACACGAGACACCGACTTTGCCAAGATGGACCTACCCCACAATCCTCCACCCAAGATCTTTATTAGTTTCCAAATGCCAGTCAATATTTAATATTCTCGCAGGAGTAGCTGGCAAACAGGGGTGTGTGCACAGAGCTGAGCAGAGAGGGCATGATGGGGGTGAGGGTGGGGCAAAGTCAATTAAGATACAGACACACAGAAACGAGGAAGAGATACGAAGATTAAAGTATACCAAAGCACAGCAGTGAGTCCTGCTTGAAAAACATTTTGCCCAATTACATGGTTAAATGGAACATTCAGAAACTTGCATAGATTTTTTTCCCTTGTCATTTCAGTATGTTCAAAGAAGTCATAAATTCCACAAAACATACATTTTAAAAAAGCATTAGATCAAGCATATTGTCCATTTCACTTTCTACTAGGTTTGAGTAGAATCAAATCAAACAGAGCAGGACTCTTCATCCAAGAGAACCCAGCTGAATGGACTACTGTTAAATTTTCACTCGAACTTCATTCTAAAGAGGTTAATATGTCTGAACAAGTCACTTCAGAAAAAAAAATGAATGAAATGAATTGCTCTGAAATTAGATTCTGAAAACACTTTATATATACAATTAAAATTGTAAGATGGTTCTAAAATCAGACCTCTAAAAATGTATCTGTAGTTATTAAAATGTGAGGCACTTGAGGCCTTGTTCTTAACCTACCATCCCAGATTGTACAGTGTTTACCAGTAAGCTACAGCAGTCCCAGGAAGCCTTTGAAATCACATGCAAAACTGTACATTTTTCTGCAGCGAGATTCCAGAGCATAGAGCCTCAAAAGATGTTGTTGTTAAGTGCTGTTAAGTTGGTCCCAACTCACAGTGACCCTGTATAGGGTTTCTGAGGCTATAAATATTTGCCAGATCAGATAGTTTCATCTTTCTCTCGTGGAGTGACTGATGGGCTTGAATCTTGTTTAGCAGTCCAGTGCTTATCCAACTGAACCACAGCACTTAAAAGTAGTCCATGTCTGAAGCTGGTTAAGGACTACTGTTTTAAGCTTAATCTCCTAAATTCATCTGGTTCCCATTCCCCAACTGCTCCTGAAATGCTTTAGCCAAGTTACGGCATGGTATTTAAAGAGGGAAATGGATACATGGCTGTACTCAGAGCATAGCATGGTAGGTGTTGAAAGTACGTCAAATAATGGCGATGAAACAAGGAAGTGGGGAAACGTTTAATGCTTTGATTTAAGGGAAAAGTGTGAGACAGGATTCAGACCTGTTCTGAGTAGACAGCCCTTTCTAAAAATCACAGTGCTCAAGAGGAGTTACATCTTAGGTAGGCATTTGGAAAAGATGTTCTGATGATGAGGATTCTCTCAAAATACATAGAATTTGAAAGGGGAACTTTATGTCATTATAAAAAAGCAATTCGATTCCCACATAATTGATGGTCCCAAACAGAATGGGAGACAAATGTGGAACAAAACTCAAATTTGTATGAAAGACTAGACTTAACTGGACTGGCAGAGACTAGAGGAGCCCCCGAGACTATCACCCTGGGGTAGATACCCTTAAAACTTGGCATTCAAACCAGTCCTGGAGGTCACCAAGCACTCAAAAGACAAAGTGGCTCGGCTCATGAACAACTACTCTCCCCTGGGAGTGCTAAATGAGACCTCGTGGTCAACAGTTACCTGACACCAAAGATGAGAAGGTAAGAGGGAACAAGGAGACGAGATGAATGGAAAGAGAACCATCAGAATGGAGCTAACGAGAACGCGGACAAACCATGAACAGTGCAACCCACGGCACTGAATAATATGTGTACACTGTATGCTGTTGTTGGTAAGTGCCACTGAGTTGCTTCCAACTCATAGTAACCCTGAAGAGGGTTTCCGGAGTGTAGTTGGCAGCTCCAGTGTATCTTGTTAAATGCCGTTGAGTTGGTTCCAACCCACAGCAACCCTGTAGACATTGTTAAAGGAGAACCTAATTTGCTGAGTAAACTTCCGCCAAAACACAGAATTAGTTTTTTAAAGGCCATTACAAAATTACTTGCCAACTTAGTTAAGAAGAAACTTCTAGAGCTCACGCTGACAGGACTAGAGAGTCAAGCAGAGGCTACATGAAACGGAACCGTCCTCTAATGGGGAATTTGTAGACAAACATGTGATTAGCTGAATCAACCAGACTAAGTAAGAAACGAGTTCATGATTTTACTAAGGTTTTCTGGCAGCATTCATAAGCAATTCGCTTTACTGAAAGTGTAACACACAGTCCATCTACTGTCCCATCTGTCCCAACAAACGATATGACTTGGCTTCTAGTTGGAAAGAAAACAAATACACTTCTAGTTCTAAAGTAGCTGATGGTACATTTTTTACTTTCAATCTACGGCAGTTCTTTTTATTAGAAAAAGAGTTAGGAAGCTAACCAAATCTCCATGTACTGGAATGCTATCTTCTAGCACTGGCAATATAGACTATGAAACTATAAGACTTCTCTCTGTGGGGATGCATTTTGTGCTAGGACTATGTTCCCACTAAGGTACATCAGAATCACTGTAATCACAGAGACTGTACAGAAAAATCAGCCACTGAAAAGATCTGTGTGCTAATAATGATTCTTAATCTCACAGTGATTACTTAATCCCTTAATGCTGCTGATTACAAAAATAGCTTTGATTAGTGGAAAATAAAATGTAAACTTCATATCTCATGAGCAACCTCCACGCTCTTGGGAGGATAGGCCATACTGGGAAAACCACCCTTAGCACAGGCTACCTAGCTGCTCTTTCGCAACAGCTTAATGCACCAGATGGAAACCTATTATACTATTGAATTTTCATGAAGTACTGAACAATTCACTAGAGTTCTGTCCATGGAACTCTCCGATGAATCATGGAGCACAACTCATAGCTTTCAATTTCACAATCGTATTAAAATCCATTATGAAACTTGAAGAATTTAGCAAAATGTTAACAAGCCTGGCATATGTGCTATTCTCTAGATTTTGGGGCCCAAATTGAATATCACAAAGATTATTCAAACAGCCAACTTCACAAATTTAGCTAGAATCCTGTGATGAAATGCTCACAAACACATACTCTCATAATCTAGCCTTTATTCCCTAACTGTTGGGTTTTCTGTTTAGACTTTTCACCCAGTGGGCATGTAGGAGAAGGTGTCTGATGGGATAGCTGTATTGGTAACAGCGTACCATGAAATCGGGTTTCCTGCTTGGTTATACTTTAATTATTACAGCTCTGACTCTGTGCTAGAACACCCACGATCTGGGCCTTCTGGTTTACTGGTATTTAAGTCCTCTTCAGGCAGCGATTCGTTCTGCTGTGCATAAGGTCGCTATGAGTCGGCACCGACTCGATGGCACCTAACAACAACAACAACAATGAAGTCCAAGACAGATAACCTCTGCGGTCTGCACTTCCCTACATTACAACAAGTGGTAACTCCTAGCATGTACCAGAAGTCTTTGAGAAAGGCAAAGCTCACCATGGACTCCGGGTAACTCTATGCGTAATATACACCATTTAGCAGACAGGAAACAGCATATTCATTCTCTATTGAGTTAACTTGATGCATGCTAACAACAACAACAACAAAAAAAGAGTCTTAGATTCTGAAATCAATCCTATCAGAGATGTTAATTTGAGAAAATAGGTTGCCATGATTCTTATTCTGTAAAACTAACTTTAATTTGCAGTTGTGAACTTTAATTTATTCTTTCTCTTTCCCTTTCGACTATATGCTCACTGAGAGGAGGCCATGTCCTCCTCTACTTTGTATCCCTCCAGGCTCCCTCAGTCCTATCGACAAAGCAGAGAGGGTAAACACATGACAGATTCCGCCAATATTTGCTATGGCAGAAATGAGCTCACAACACAACAATGAATAACCTTCAGGCCATGTCAGGTGAGGTAAGGGTTTTCTCCCCATTTAAATCTTAGCCTTTGTTTGACATATAGTCATCTCTTTTTTTGTTGCTAAGTTTTTACTGTGAATTGAGTGATAGTTTACATGGGAGAATATTGGTCTTACATTCATCTTTTCATTGCACTGATTACAATCTCCTCCGTGCATCATCATTCAACAGTATTTGATTCTATTTCCTCTGTTTTATTTGGGGGGAAGGGAGGGAGGACACTCAGGAATATATAATCACTTGAACCACCAAAGGGCACATTCTGTAAGCCTGTCTTCTGGCTACCAGCACACAGCCTTTCTCTTTCCATGAATCTAGAGTCCTCAGCTGTTCTTTCTCTCTCCATGTCCTCATCTCTGCCTCCATTTCTGGTGTCACTGCTTTTCTGGATAGGGTCCCACATTCCGCCTGTGCCCTTCTCCCTTGAAGTTCTATGGCCCTTTGTTCTTGGACTATAAGATTAATACTCCCCCCTTTTTGTTACAAAACTTCTACATTTACAGTTGTGACAGTCACAATTAATCATGACAACAATTATTCACTATTGAATCATAAGAATCTTATCTCCATCTCCTTTAATCCAGTCACTTTGTGCCTTATTGCCCCCTCATTTTAGGTAATCAATGTCTAACTTGCCCATCCCTTCAACCCTGTGTACAGAGGGGATGGGAATGATCCTTGTTGTGAAGATTCCTTCCCTCTTGGTTGGTATTTTGAGCTACTACATCCATTAAGTATA